AGTAATCACATAATCACCAGTATCTTGACCTGAAGACATATACAATCCATAAAAAATGCAAAGCCCTTAGCTGGTTTGGCTCAGTGGATAGAGGGTCAGCCTGTGGACTGAAGTCTTGGGTTCAATTCTGGTCAAGGGCACATTCCCGGGTTGCAAATGCTATTGAATACGTAAGAATTTTAAGAATTGTAGCCCTAACTGGTTTGGCTCAGTGGATAGAGCGTTGGCCTGCAGACTAAGGGTCCCAGGTACGATTAAGGTTAAGGGCATTTACCTTGGTTGTGGACACATCCTTAGTAGGGAATGTGCAGGAGACAGCTGATCGATGTTTCTTTTTCATTGATATTTCTAACTATCCCTCTTTTTCTCTGTAAAAAAAAAAAAATCAATAAAACATTAAAACAATTTTTAAGAATTGTGTACTCAATAGCCAAAACTGTTTTGGCTCAGTGGATAGAGCGTCAGCCTGCAGACTGAAGGGTCCCGGGTTCGATTCAGGCCAAGGGCATGTACCTGGGTTGTGGGCACATCCCTGGTAGGTGTGGGCAGGAGGCTGCTGATCGATGATTCTCTCCCATTGGTGTTTCTAACTATCTATCCCTTTTCTTTCCTCTCTGTGGAAAATCAATAAAATATATTTTAAAAAGTTGTGTACTCAATAAATAATAAATTTTAACCTGGATTTTTTGCTAAAGTGGTGAATTTACCAATTGAACATAATAATTACTAAGACTGATATAATTATAATTAACTAGTTATTAATAACTGGAAAGGAGCAAATGGAAGGCCAAAAATTATGGCCAAATATTGCCAGGAAACTGCAATTTAACACTCTCCAGGTTATTGGCCAGAGTAGGCATGACCACTGCAAGCGTGGGAAGGCTTGAGATAATCTCTTAAAGGATTTTGCTCTCTTGCCTTTTGGTTCATGCACCTGTGTCTTGCATTCCTGACTGCAGGACTCTCTTGCATTTGCCCACATGGTCTATGGCCAGGCCATCTGATCCCCACACACAGTGGACAAATGGACTGCAACTAGCTTAATGTTAAACTGGAATGGAAACCGGCTTTGCTTCTAGTTCTGCTGAATTCCCAACTGCACCTCTTCTAGGGCTGGATTAAGGAAAATGGGACTTTGAATCCCAGGGATGTAATTCCATGCAAATAAAGCTTTCTACCACATCTCATCTTCCTGTGGGGGCTTCCAAAAATGCTTATTCCAGTGGCACCCCAAGAACCCCATTCTCACTAGCAGTGGAGAGAACCCATCCACTCATTTCTCTGATAGCAAAACTACCCAAAGGTCCTGTTCAAAATAAACAAGAACTAGGAGCAACCCTTGAACTCTGAAATGAGTTTTCAACAATTTTTGTAAAAAAATCAACCAGAAGTTATCCCCCTCACAATCCATGGCATCTTAAGATCTGATGAAATGTGACATATCCCATTGTTCTGGGTTTCTTTTTCTAATATATTAGGGGCCTGGTGCCTGCTCCTTCTCACAAACTGGGAGCCCTTAGGGGATGTCCTACTGATGGCTGATCAGGGGAAGGCACCAGCCCCATCAGCCTGCTGCTGCAGCCACTGCCGGTCACCACAACCATCAGGGTGTTTTCATCAACATGAACTCCAGTTCCTTTACCATGAAAAAATGACAACTTTTGGCATTTTCAAGTGTCTTTCATAGGACATGACTTTTTTTTTTTTTTTAATCCTCACCTGAGGATGTTTCCATTGAATTTTAGAGAATGTGAAAGAGAAAGGGAAAGACAGAGAAAAACAAAAGTGAGAGGAACACTTTGATTGGTTGCCTCCTGCATGAGCCCTTACCTGGGCCCCAGCCAGGGAGGGGCCTGCGACCTAGGTACATGCCCTTGATCAGAATCCAACCTGGATCCTGCCGTCGGCAGGTCTAGGCATTATCCACTGAACAACACCAGCGAGGGCAGGATATGACATTTCTTAGCTCTCCAGCAGCAGACCTTCATTTTTCCCCCCCCCCCCTCCAGGAATGTGGTGGAAAAACCCTAAATCACCTTTTTAAATTCTTATACCCAAGTTATTAAGAATATTACCAGTGGCCAAAACCGGTTTGGTTCAGTGGATAGAGCATCCGCCTGCGGACTGGAAGGTCCCAAGTTCAATTCCGGTCAAAGGCATGTACCTTGGTTGCGGGCACATCCCCGGTAGGAGGTGTGCAGGAGGCAGCTGATTGATGATTCTCTCTCATGGATGGATCATTGGGCAGCCTCCAGAACACAGCTAAAGGACTCATTAACCATCATTTAGAAATTCAGGGCTGCAATTAGAGCTCTTGTATATACCAGTGTTTGGCAAACTGGCTCACAAGCCACATGCGGCTCGAGAGCCACGGTTTGCAGCTCTGTTGACTGAGTTTGCCGACCACTGGGATAGGGGCTTAATCACAAGGAACAATAGCCTGTAATTATTGGAATCAAGAGTCTAGGTCAGTGGTCAGCGAACTCATTAGTCAACAGAGTAGCAAACCACGGCTCTCGAGCAGTTGCTGACCACTGGTATATACAATCCCTTTGCTACTCTCAGCTGTTGCATGAGCTTCTTTTATTAACTCTTGGCAGATGAATACCTAACTTTGTCAGATGTTCTCTATACCCACTCCCACCCACATACCAAGTGAGTTATATGACATAATGCATATTTTAGGCCTTATTCTCCCAAACATGCTCTCAAAATACTGTTTCATTAAACATTTTGATATATTTCAGAGGGAGAGATAGAAACATCAATGATGAATCACTGACTGCCTCCTGTACACTCCACACTAGGGATCGAGCCTGCAACCAGGGCATGTGCCTTGACCAGGAATCAAATTGTGATCTCATCCATAGGTTGATACTCAACCACTGAGCCACACTGACTGGGCCTGAACATGGTTTAATAATTTATATAGCTACTTTCATATGGAATACTTTCAGCCAAATATGAAATAAATTTATAAATACGGGATGTCTACAGTGTGGTCTAGAGGCCAGAGATGCTGCAAAAACTAACGACTTTTTTTTTAGTAAATCTATTATTAAGACAAGAGATAATCCCAGAGATAATTATCAGAAACTCTCTCCTGACTCCTGTTTTGCTTAGTATAGAACATGGGTTGTCAAGAAAATTAAGAAAACAAGAGGGACAGTGGGGAGGGGAGGAAGATCTGGGGGAGATAGTAGATCAACCGAAGGACTTGTGTACATACATATAAGTACAACCAATGGACATAAAACTCTGGGGAGGAAGGATATGTATGGGAGGGAGGGGCGGGCAAAAAAAATCAATAAAATATATTAAAAAAAAAGAAAATATAAGCAAGTTTAATTTCTTGAATATTCCAATTAATATATTAAACAAACAGGAATAGATGATGAATTTTATGACCTGTTATATAATTATTAGTTTTTAATTCTGTTAAGTTTCTCGCTCTCAGTGAAATAAAATATCAGTTTCTCAAAATTCAAATGAGTGATCTAAAAATAAAACTGCATTTATTTGCAAAGACAAAACAAACAAACAAACAAACAAACAAACAAACAAAAAAAGAGGGAATTGAGAGAGGAACTGAATTCATTTAAATAGGTTTCAACTTCATTTAAAATGTTTCACCAGCCGAAACCGGTTTGGCTCATAGGCCTGTGGACTCAGGGGTCCCAGGTTCGATTCTGGTCAAGGGCATGTACCTTGGTTGTGGGCACATCCCCATTGGGGGGTGTGCAAGAGGCAGCTGGTCGATATTTCTCTCTCATCGATATTTCTAACTTTCTATCCCTCTCCCTTCCTCTCTGTAAAAAAATCAATAAAATATATTAAAAAAAATGTTTCACCATAGTTTATGTAACCTACCTGGCTCTAGTTTGGGGAGTTATATGAGGTGGTGAGATCTGGAATAACCCAATGGACTAGCTACACCCATGAAAAACTATGGTAGTTATGTTATTGAGCTGTTGGTTTGTGGGGTTTCTCAACATACTATAAAATGATGGGTTGTCCTAACTGGTTTGGCTTAGTGGATAGTGCGTTGGCCTTTGGACTGAAGGTTCCCAGGTTCAATTCTGGTCAAGGGCATGTATCTTGGTTGTGGGCACATACCCAGTAGTGAGTGTGCAGGAGGCAGCAGATTGATGTTTCTCTCTCATCAATGTTTCTAACTATTTCCTCTCCTTTCCTCTCTGTAAAAAAAATAAAAAAAACTTTAAAAAATGATGTATGGGTTGTACTACACAAGGAGCTCTTCTCTAACTTCTTGTGTGGCCACAGACTATTGTATGTTTTTGTAATAAACAAAAATTTTATGTTTATTATATCTCCAACTACCCCGTGGCTTACAACGAATGTAATACCATTATAGTTTATTCAGGGCTACTCAGGCTGGAAAGAAATATGAAAAACACAAGACACCTTATTTGAAAAGAAACTAGTGTTATGATTTCTGAGACTGTGAACAAAGGGAAACATGTTGAACTTGGATAAATGTAATATCCTTACAGTTATAAATGCTGAGTACCTAGATATATAAAAGGCTAATGTGCAAAGTGTCCCCTCAGGAGTTCGATTGCTCACTATGATGTGTGCTGACCACCAGGAGGCAGTGTGGAATGAAGGAAGGGTGCGGCCAGTGGCCGTCAGCTGTCAGCCAGGGAAGGCAGGCCCTGTCTGTCAGCCGGAAGGCCCTGATTGGTCCTGATCGCTGGCCAGGTCTAGGGACTCTACTCATGCATGGGGCCTCTAGTATAATTCTAGTAACACTGGCTGAACGAGTGTACAGCTGTTTTCACACCACCTATCTAAGGAACTAGAAAAAGAAATTCATTGTATAGTATAACAAAGTTCTTGGCACTTAAATACTTCAAATGAATGAATTATTTTCAGTGAGAGAACATATCTTAATAACGCATCTTCATAGAATATAGAGGTCAGAGTGATGTTAAAAATATTTAAGTCTTTAGAGTACAAGCATATAATTGAAGAGCTTGTTAAGAGGGATCTTTCTTGTGAACTCGCTGGTGGATGTGGAGGTTGGAGCTCTGGCTGAAGCCCTTCCCACACTTGCTGCACTCATAGGGCTTTTCTCCAGTATGTACTCTCTGGTGGATGAGGAGTTTAGAGCTCTGGCTAAACCCTTTCCCACACTTGCCGCAGTGATAGGGCTTTTCCCCAGTGTGAACTCTGAGATGGATGCGGAGATCTGAGCTCTGGCTGAAGCCCTTCCCACACTCATAGCACTGGTAAGGCTTCTCTCCTGTGTGTATGCACCGGTGAATGTGAAGGTTCGAACTCTGACTAAAGCCCTTGCCACACTCTCCACATTTGTAGGGCCTCTCTCCCGTGTGGACTCGCTGGTGGATGTGCAGGTTAGAGCGCTGACTGAAGCTCATTCCACACTCCCCGCACTCATAGGGCTTCTCACCAGTGTGCACTCGCTGGTGGATATGCAATTTGGAGCTCTGACTAAAGCCCTTCCCACACTTGTCACATTTATAAGGTTTCTCGCCTGTATGGACTGCATGATGGATAAGCAGACTTGAACTCCTTGTGAAGCCCTTCCCACACTTGTCACACTTGTAAGGTTTCTCATCTGTGTGGATGGCTTGATGGATGAGGAGACTTGAGCTCCTTGCGAAACCCTTCCCACAATGCTCACATTTGTAGGGCTTTTCTTTTGTGTGGTCTTTCTGATGAAGTAGTAGTTCTGAGCTCTCACGGAAGTCCTTACCACACCTACTGCTTTGGTATTGTTTCTCTGCATTGTGTATTTTCTCACATGAGTGACTATCTGAGCTGGTATTATGTATTTTGCCAGAGTCATAATGATTACAGAGATGCTTCTTTGTAGGAGCTCTCTGATGACTGACCACTCGTGATTTCCAACCATAAATGTTATTACAGTTACAGTCAAAGGGATCCAAGGATTCTTTCAATTGGCTCTTCTGGCAAATAGCTTCACCACCTAACAATGGTGAGACCAATTCTATTACATCAGACACAAGTTTAATATGAAGGGTTTCTGAACAATGGTCTATGGGAGGACTTTTCCCTCCTAATACTTTTATCTCAGTACTTTCTTCTGTTACAAACAGACTTTTTGTCTTCTGAGGGTCCTGGGGCTCATTGTCACAAAATGTCACTGAGGAGTCCTGTTTGGCCATTTGGCCCGGAACTTTCAAAGACAAATATTCTTCACTTTCCATGGCACTTAAATACTTCTTGACATCACCACTTTGAAGGGTCACGTCACTGCTCTTGTTTCTGGAAATGTGAGAAGATGCTTCTCCCCACTTTTGACAAAGGGAAAGATCTAGTTCAGGGTTCCTATACATTTCTCCTTGAAGATTCAGTGTAATCCTTACTCCCAGTTATGGTACTGGCCATCTCTTCCAAAATTAGCCAGCAGAAAAGCTCTTCATGTAATAGATTCCCAGGTTCTTTCTCTTAAAGATTCTCCACAGAATTTTCATTCAGGTCTCCTAGGGAACAAAGAAAATTCAGTGATATAAACAAACTGGATAGATTTTAAGATTTCAGAAATGAAGAGCCTAAGTCCTGAAGCCTTAATAACTGGGAAATAGTTCAGTCTTGTCCTTATAGTCATGTACTTTGGATTGTCAGAGAAAATACTTTTGTACACAAAATATAAATCTTGTCTTTTTTATGCATAGCCAATAAAAGTATTCATCTCCTGCCTTATCTGGTTTGGCTCAGTGGATAGAGCTTCAGCCTGTGTACTGCAGGGTCCCAGGTTTGATTCAGGTCAAGGGCACATGCCCAGTTGTGGGCTTGAACTTCAGTAGGGGGCGTGCAGGAGGCAGCCTATCAATGATTCTCTCTCATCAATGATGTTTCTCTCTCTCTCCCTTCCTCTCTGAAATCAATAAAATAAAAATATATATGTATAAAAAAAGATATTCCTCCCCTAACTCTGCAGAAGGCTATGAATCCTACATCCTTGCCACAAATTACATTTTGGTTCACTTTACTTCATTTTATTTTAGGTAAATTTGCATTGAATTGATAATCCACTTTAATTGATGCTGGGAAGGATACAAGAAAGTAAATAAGCTAGAGCCTACTGGGGAGAAAGATAAATATATCAATAATGATAGCACCATATCAATTTTTTTTTCTCTTTGCAAATATTTTATGCACATATGTGTATTTTTTATAAATGATAGATACTGTGTATACTGTCTCATATATTTTTAAACTTTTTAAACATAGCTTGTCTTGGTCCTCTTTCCTTTTTTTTTCCCCTTATTTTTTTTTTATTAAATTATTATCTGTGTACATATCTTACCATTGCCTCTCTCTCCCATTCATACCTTCCCTCCCCAGAGTTTTGTGTCCATTGGTTGTACTTATATGCATGTATACAAGTCCTTCGGTTGATCACCATATCAATTTTAAAGTGCACCCTGGAGAGGAAAGCAGGAGCTAGAACAAAGGGGTTGGTGTGTACTACTAAATCCTTTAAAGATTTATAGCTATTAAAGGATTTCAATTGGGAATGAAAGATTGACTTGCTCATCAGAAATGAGCAAGACTTTAGGTAGAGAGACAATTGATATAGAAAACTAGAAATGGTAAAAATGATAGTTATGGAAAGAGTGAGAGGGACATTCTAAATCATATGATGACTAACTAGAAGGGAAAGGAGGCACCAACCATGATCCCCAAGTTCCTTGCTTGAGTGAATAGGTTTAGGGGTACTATGTAATAAGATAGGGGATGCAAAAGGAAAGGCTGGAGTGAAGAAGGCCAGATGACAAGCTTTAAATCTAATGTTTAATTTGTGGTGCTGGTGGAATCTTCTTACTGTTCAGTAAACAGTGAGATATATGGGTCTGGAACTTCTGAGGGAGAGTTGTGCTAAAAATACAAATTTTTAGACTTACTAGTATATATGTTGATTAAAACAATTAGAGTGAAAACCCTAATATTACAATGAAATAACAAAAAGAAATCTATAAAAGCCTTAAAAAAAAGTAAGAGTTGTCATCACCAGAATAAAAATGTTTCTTCCAAGATGAAAAAGTGGTGAATTAGGAATGATGGAGAAAATAGAAAACTAGAAACTAGAAAAAAAAAAAAATTGAACAGTTCAAGTATAGGAGATGATTTCTGAAGGAAAAAGAGATTTTCTCAAGAAGTCCTAGAAATTCAAATAATTCAAATTCCAAAGTCAGAATCAACGAGAGGTTTATCCTGGCAATTCAGGTTTTTTGTTTTGTTTTGTTTCTATGCCAGTCAGTGTCAAAAGCTCTGCTTCCTAGGCAGGAAATTCAGGTTTTTAAATTCCTGTTAAGACATTTCTGATGGTTAGACTAATTGTTGCTATTATCACCACCATACTCTCAACTATCCTTTCCCAACAAAAAATGAGATGTTGGATAGCTACCAGATGTAGCCCCAAACAAAGTCTTAAGAACTAATAAATGATCTGTTAAAGACAGACTGCTACTAGTATTAGTTGGGCTGAAAAGAGAAGAAGTGGAGGTAAAGCTGAACCTGTACAATGGCAGGGCTGATTAAGGTACGAAAAGAAGCGATGGACTCCAGGACAAAGCCTCAAGGTAACCCCTGAAGTGGGATTTCTGACAAGGGAGATATCTCAGAGCTGCAGATCAGAGCATGGCATGCCTCAGATAACTTACTTGTCTGAAAAGGCACCCTCAAAAAGAGTTTATACCACTCACCATCTGGATTCTGATATCCATTCCAAGCCTAGCTAGAAGAGCTGTTCCTTGTTAGTAGAATCTGCATACACCAAAGAGGGTTTGGATCAGCTGAGGATGTAGACTCTAGTATCGTACTATGCACAAAAAAGACTTTGTGGGGGAAAATGGGACAATAAAAAATGTAAGCAGCCGAAACCGGTTTGGCTCAGTGGACAGAGCGTCAGCCTGCGGACTGGAAGGTCCCAGGTTCGATTCCTGTCAAGAGTATGTACCTTGGTTGCAAGTATATCCCTGGTAGGGGGTGTGCAAGAGGCAGCTGATCGATGATTCTCTCTCATCGATGTTTCTAACTCTCTATTCCTCTCCGTTCCTCTCTGTAAAAAATCAATAAAATATATATTAAAAAAGAAAAAGAAAATTGTTGCCCTCAAGTTCTTTAAAAAAAAAAAAAAAGTAAGCAGACAAAGAAAAGAAGAAACTAATTTTCATAAGGACTGGCACTGATTCAAGAAATAGTGAACAGAAGATCATACCTGCCAGAATGGCTACCATCAATAAATCAACAAAAAACAAGTGCTGGCACAGATGTGGAGAAAAGGAAACCCTAGTGCACTGCTGATGGGAACGCAGACTGGTGTAGCCACTATGAAAAACAGCATGGAATTTCCTAAAAACTTAAAAATAGAACTGCTTTAGACGCAGCAATACCACTTCTGGGTATATATCCTAAGAATCCAGAAACACCAATCAGAAAGACTATATGCACCCCTCTTTTCATAGCAGCATTATTTACAACAGCCAAGATCTGGAAACAGCCCAGGTGCCATCAGCAGATGAGTGGATAAAAAAGCTTGGTACATTCACACAATGGAATTCTATGGGGCTACAGAAAAAGGAAATCTTACCCTTTGTGACAGCATAGGTGGACCTAAAGAACATTATGCCAAGTGATATAAGCCAGTCAGAGAAAGACAAGTACCATATGATTTCACTCATATGTGGAATCGAATGGACAAAATAAACTAACACACAAAATAGAAGCAGACCTAGATACAGAGACTAGACTCAGCTAGTGAGGGGTAGGATGAAAAAGGTGAAGGCAGTAAGCAAACTCCTCCTACCCCAAACTCAGAGACAGAAAACAGTATGGTGGTTACCAGAAGAAAAAGGGATTGGGGAACCCTGAACAGGGTAAGGGGAAATTGTGATTGAAGGAGACTTGATTTGGAGTGGCGAACGCATAAGGTAATATATGGATGATCTATTATAGAATTGTAAACTTGAAACCTATATAATTTTATTAACCAATGTTGTCCCAATAATTTCAATACAAATTAAAAAGTCTTGATCAGTATATATTTTAATAGCTACATGTTTTTCTCTTACCAATATATGACCCTCTATAATTTGTATAACCAACCCCCTCTGATATATTAGGTGAGTAATTATTTCACTGTATTAAATAATTCTATAATGACTGTTCACATTTTTCAGTTGATGTTATTGATTAATTCCTTAGGGTAGATACCTAAAAATTATTTCATCAGAAATGTTTCAGGCTCTTTGCTTCAAGTAGTCAAAAGCTTTTTGAGGAAACCTGTATCAGCTCTACTCCTATCTATCTCTAGATGGATGTTGTCTTATATTCAGAAGGGGAGACAGATGAATCTCTGATGTGTAAGAAAAGAAGCAAAGGGAAATAGATATTGCAGGGCAGTGGGGTTTTTAATGGAGAAGGCAGGGAAAACATGGAAGAAGACGGAGAACAGATAAGAAGGTCATTGTGAATGAGAAAGACCACGACTTTCTGAAAAGCCGAGGGAGAGTAAGTGAACAGATACAGGGAAATCAGTTTGTGCAAAGTATCATTGAAGCCTCAGCTTTCTCCACAGACAGAGAACTTCAAAGAGAACTCCTTAAACATTTAAAAAGGGACTTAGTTTCCTCAAAAAATTAAAAATGGAACTGCCATTTGACCCAGTGATTCCACTTCTAGGAATATTATATTCTAAGAAACCCAAACACCAGTCAGAAAGAATATATGCAGCCCTAAGTTCATAGCATCACAATGTACAATAGCCAGGATCTGTGCCCATTAATAGACGAATGGATAAAAAAGCTGTGGTACATTTACACAGTGGAATACTATGCAGCAGTAAAGAAGGATCGCTTACCCTTTGAGACAGCATGGAAGGATCTGGAGAGTATTACACTAAGTGAACTAAACCCATCAGAGAAAGGTAAGTATCACATGATCTCACTCACATTAACTGGTGAACAAAACAGACCCAGACACACAGAAGCATAGAACAGACTGGAATTTCAGAGGGAAAACGGTGGAGGGTGGGTGGTGGGAGGAGACCAGCCAAATAACATGTATGCATATATGCATATATGCATAACTCATGGGCACAGACAATAGGGTAGTGAAGGGCTGGGGGTGAGGTTGGGGGTGGGCTAGAAGGGGTCAATGGGGCAAAAAAGAGGACATGTAATACTTTCAACAATATTTAATTAAAAAATAAAATGTAAGAAGGGACTCCTCTTTTGTGGATTAGCCTGGATTTGTAACTTGCCACGATGCCTTGCTGATTCCTTTGGAGTTCGTTCTTCATTATGTAACTAACTTCAACTCTGTCAACTGA